GGAAATAGAGGAGCTCAAGCTGCGTCGAATGGCGCAAGAACGAATTCTCTAGCTCATTTCGTTTTTGAGAAAAGCGGATTTTAATGCGTCAAAAACGTTACAGTGTAACGCGTGAACAAGCCGTCAGGTTCACCTGAGGATACAGTTGGGTTCGCATTACGAAAAACAATAGTCCCAGTCTATTCGATTTCAGGAACGAAAAAAGTTTCGTTTACTTTCTCGTTTGTTTCTTCCTGTCACATTGAATGATTGCGTCTTTTGACTCGATAAAAAATATGTAACAAAAGATTAAGTTAACATCATATAATTAACGTAATTTGCTCGATTGAAGTTCTAAAATTAAAGTTTAGGTATGCTTTTGTAGAGTATTTCGTGGCACATCTTTTAAAAAAACACCTACCGTGAGATCCTAAAGGAACACGAGAATAATAGAAAATACTAAGTGGCTCATTCATTATGACGTACCCGACAGAAACTTCCATAACTCTACAGCAAATAATCGTCATATGGAATATGAATTATATTCATCAATCCCATTTTAGATAAACATTCATTTGGTATATAATTCATTTTTATGTCATTTGTAGTTTAAGCTTTACTCTCTTGGAAAAACATTTTTTCCAACTCTGTACACATGACTGCCAATTACCAATCAACAAACATGCATGGGTCACCAGCCGAAATATTTAATGTTACTGAACGAAAACTCACTGGTGCAAGTTATTCACAACCAATGAGTCGGCGATTAAGTATAGTACGTCGACCTTCTATAGTAGCACCACAAAAGTCTATATTATATGAATCAGAATATTTACCACAATCAAAAGTACCACCTAATGGTGTCGATTCGCTTCAATTTGATGTTACTGACTTTGTATGGGTAAATGATGTAATTGATGATCATGATAATACAGTGAGAACTAGAACACCAATCTCTAATAATGATCTTGAAAGATTAAAATTATCTAACATAAGTAAAAGAGCAATATTTGTTTCTGAACCAATTTTAATCGGTTTTATTATATTTCCAATATTAGTTTTATTTTGGGAAGCTGGATGGAATTTAACATTAATTATGTTAAACACTTTAAATTCATTTAATTCAACATTGCATATACTTGGAACAAGTGATGAAAATGATAACTATTCATATAGATCATTACTAATATCTTATTTTATATCACAACTTGTTATATTACTATTTTATCTCTTACAAGATCAAATCTACAATTATGTAAAACATAAACATAAACATTGGCTATGTCGTTATATTTTATTAAAATTGCACATATTTATTCTTTCAACAACTTATATTGTACAATGGGAAATGATGTGGACAATATGGGATCAATATACACCTCCTGAATGGTATTTTGAATTACTCCTTAGTTTTACCGCTTTTTTTGCACTTATTGTATTGAATGGTCATTTATGTGATTTGGTTTGTTCACCATTTCTAATCAGTTACGATTCAATTGAATATTGTATACATATTGGTTGCCCTTTACTTACTCGAAAGGTAAAAAATCAGCTATTACTCGTTACATATACCAAAAGTTCAATATTAGACTTCTAATTTTTAAAGTCTCACTCATGTCAGAAATACAAACAACAGAATTAAAAATCGGTCTCCTTCAAGAATTTTTGTTTTTCTTAAATCGCCAGAGAATATAATTTTACCTGTCTGAATTTACCCTAGTTATCGATAAACAGAGGAATTTTTGAAAATTTCTACAAGAAGAGTCGACTCTGAATGTCTGTATATACCCTAAAGTGTTTTCAATGAACAGACTTGTAATTGATGAGAATTTTTTACAACTTTCATCCTCTATTTAAAAGATTTATAAAAAATTCAAAATTGAAGATGGAACTCTTATTGTTACGCAGTTCGACAGCGCACATTGAGTAACATATACCAATAAGTTATAATAGAAATTGAACTAGTTGTGTCTGAGGAAGTTAACAATTTTCATTCTAGCGCAGTTTGAGCTCTTAAAGTAATTTTTTGAAACTTATGCACGCATTTCGAAAACAACGAAGCATTTTGAAGAAAACCTTTTGCTGGCAACGTTGTCCAGGATAATTCTTCTTCTTCTTAATTTTCTATTTGTAATTTATTTCAAAATTTTCCCACTAAAATGGAAAAAGTGCTCCGCTTAGAGTATGGAAAGGATTACCCTGAACAACTTCTCGAAAAGTTCTCTTCAAAATGCTTCATTGTTTTTGAAATGCGTGCATAATTTCGTGTACAAGGTAATGAAAAAATCGAATTTCCATGCAAAAGCGAATTCATCTAACATAGGCTGGCTTGTGAACGATTATTTTGAAGAAAAGAGGACAGAAGAGGATGTTCTAAATTTTTTTTCAGAGGATAAGCGTCGAAAAAAGAGGTAAAAAAAAAGATTTTTCCCGCTCTAAAAGTGTATTGTAGGTCTTTATGCGTATTACTATGTTCGGAGGTGATAAGGCACGGCACTGCTGAGATATTCACTTAATTTATTCACGATTTAACACACCTTGTTTCAGCCAGCGTCTCACAGACATGCCCACAGAATCCGATTTTTTCAACCATGCTTGACTAAATTTCGTTTTAAGTACCGGCATAGATATGAAGAATATATCTAAAAAATACGAGATAAACCGCCTTTATAATCATGAAAATAGACTATTTTCTGTTAGAGACGTTTCGTCTTTATTCAGAACACCCTGTAACCAAGATTTTGACTTCTTGAATTATTTCAGTAAGAGCTTGATTGGTAAGAAAATATAAGAAGTCTAGATCTTGAACATCTTGTAATTTTTTGACTTCTTGTACCAAGATCTTGGAAATTCTTCAATCATCGGTTTGTTTTACACTCTTGTGTAAATATAAGTGCGAATATTTTCACACTTAGCATAACTTCGAATTTTTTTCCTTCTGGACCATAGTTGTTTAAGGAAGAATCTATGACTCTGTATGGTCGTATATCCAATGGCTACGACTGTCATAGATAAAAACAAAATGTAAAGAAAATTTGTCACTCAAGCTCTTGCAACATCTTGAGTGAACTCAAGGGCTTGAATGAAGTAAGCCAAGATGTTTCAAGATTTTGAGCGAAAGATTGAGGAATCCAAGATCTTGACTTATTGATCTTTTTTCCAAGATCGTGGGGTCTACAAGAAGTTTCACTACGGACATCAGCAGTCAAATGTGACAGACGATAGTTGATTCAAAATAAAAGATAAAATGAAATACAAATATGTAGAACGCATTCAGTGGTCATATATTGTGAAAAAAGGAAAAGTTGTATTTATCTATTTTGTATTTTATCTTTATTTTGAATCAACTATTGTCTGTCATATTTGATTCATGATGTCTTTTGAATAAAGACACGTCTCTAACAGAAAATAGTCTATTTTCATGACTATAAAGGTGGCTTATCTCTTATTTTCTGTATTGAAATTCTTCACCTTGAAAAATGACTCAAATATATTTAAAAGCATATTCGAGTCTAAAATTGCTAAAAATTAGGCATTTTTGTAACAAAATCATCCACAAAGAGGAAAAATGACGGGAAAACAGGACAAAGAGGATCATTCACAACCCCGGACATAGGTTTTCACTCGGCTTCTGAGCTTTTTTCGAAAAAACAAACATTGCCACGAGACTCAGCGTGATGGGTAACCCTTGTTTCCATTCATTTGCGAGATTATCAGATCTAAGAAAATATCGATCCTGGAGCTCCGAGAAAATCCGATGCTATGCCTAAACCACGAAAGATTAAGAGTTCGCTTAATTCCCACTTTGTAGAAGACATTTTGGACTATCTTATCTATATGAGAAATACAGGGGTGTACACTTAACAAAGAGTTAATAAGATACAGGTGATGAAATCTTGCTTCACAGTAGGCGCGGACATTTGTCTCATTACTTATGCATCGTAGGTTACTCATGGAGTATAAGCTTCTCTACAGAATACATCTCACAATAAATGAGAAAGTCATTTATATAAAAAATCTATCTCTACCAGTCAACTGCTCATTTCTTATTGTAATATGCCGTTCTTCTTTGTTTTTTAAGATGAGTCCATGGACAATAAATCTGATTAATTATGTTTTATATGAATATTTTGTATCAATTCTTACCATTATTTCATGGAGAGGTTTTTATCATTTTCTAGACAAATTCTTATATCCAAATAATACTAATTTGTCATCTTGTTTATGCCTTGGTTTCGGCTATGTCATGTTTTTTCTGCTCATGTATTTTCAAAGTTATTTGGAAGATTTACATACAAAATACAAGTTTTGGGCATTTATTAGTATTAATTTTCCACAGTTTTATCGAAATATTCGTCATCTCTTAGCATTTACATCCTGTATATTATTATGGCGTGGTTTTTGGACTTTATACGATGCATGGATTTACATATTTAAAGAATATTATGCAACATATTTGATGTTATATTTTTTATCATTTTTTATATTAGCTATCACACAAGCATCATCATCTCTAAATGGTCCATTAAGTGATATGCCTGATCATTTGAATATATTCCCATTGTATCCGAATTATTATATAACATTTTTAATTATGAAATGTTCTAATAAATTTCCATGCTTGTTACGACGTTCACAGGAAGATAACACATTTACAGGTTATACTGATACTGATCAAATTAATCCAAGCTAGATTAACTCTTCTTGCGTCGATTTACATAGATATATGTAACAAAATTTGAATTAAGCATGTATAATTAAACAATGAACAAAAAGTATAAGAATGAAAGTCGATCGAAACGTTTGAAAATAACTAAATAAAATTTATTACAAAGAAAAAATATTTAGCTGTAGTTATACAAACATCTGATATGATCATTATAATCTATGGAGATCAAAAGATACTAAAAGAAGTTAAATTAAACTTCTGTTCCGTTCATATTTCTTATTGTATATATATTCCTCTTGTATATTATTATATTTTCTTTATATTCTTTTTCTTGTCTGTCTACTAATTAATTTAGTGATCAAAAGTCTTATTTTTTGGTGATCATTCCCATGTAAATATTTTTCAGTTCTAGACCGCACCTCGAAACGCGTTTTATCTTGCGTTTAAGTCGCTCAAATATGCATCCGTTTGGTGCGTCTATACGCGTTTAAACGAGTTTTCTTTAAATTATTTTTTTCTTTTTAAAGATTTTTTTTGCTGTTGAATAAAATTCCTAGCTAAGACTTCATTGTTCTTCAGTCAGCTGAGATTATATACAAGAGCCATTAAAGAAAAGCTACGACCTAACGTGTTCGATCGACCATCTCAGATCTCTTCCAGCATAGTGGACTTCTTTAAAGCAAACAGTTTCATGAATTTTGGCGAAAACTGCAGATCCTAAACTCGTTGCGCTGCTGAGATATTCAATTATTGTAAAGAGCCAGAAAATGCACAAATTCCAGCATCTAAGGAAACTGGCAATTTAAACTACGCACAACTCCATAACGACACATTACTTAGACTTAAGAATTCTATCATAACTACTAGAGAGTGTCTACTACAAATTTACACAACCGCGAGCTCTAGACATGCTTTCATTCTTTTACAGTAGTTGATCCCATGAGAGCTGAAATCGTCGATCTGGTCATTTTGGCAAACGGTTTCCTCCCGGAAAGCCGAGCGAATTTCCCGCCCACTACGATATTGTTGGAGTACATCAAGTGTACTATCATGAGCCATGGTGGAATTTTAGAGAAGAAGGTATGCTTTAGCGACTTGATTCACTAGTCCGTCCTAGCGGGAGCAACAAGAACGATGAAAGATGTTCAGACTTACATGGATATAATTAATTTTTGATGCTGTATCCGAATAAATCAGTTTCAAAAATTTACAGTGACGACAAAGGGATGGAATCTGAAGTTTTTCATACCTTCTTCGTATTTTGAACACCACCAGCTATTATCGAAAACGAGCCTTATGCGTTGTATCCCGATGATCCACAATTAGATGATACTACTTCTGTTGCTGCATGTCTTCTCGGTCTTTCATCTACCTCTGTTTGCACTGCTTCTGTTCTTAATCCTTCGTTTTTCATTGAAAATCTCATTTCTTTTGATTCTCCACCTTCATAAAATGTTTCATATGTTTTGTTGGCACCACCTTCTGCAATACTTTTAGATAATTTTGTTCGTGGTTTTGATGTTCTTAGTGATCTACATTCTATTGCAGGATCATGTGTTGGAACTCACCTAGACACGAATCAGTACGTAAACAAGCAACAGAGAATTACGTAACTACGGCAAATAAAAAACGGAAATTGTATGATGTACATTTAAGAAACTTCGTTGATAAATTTAATCAAGGAGATTGTGTTGGTATTAAAATTCATGATGTGGATAGACTAATACAGATCCGAAGATTTTGCCATGTGTTATTCACACAAGTAAATTATATTAAATTGTACATAAAAATAATACAATTATAATAAATTGTATAAATATAAAAATATGGTAAATATAAAAATACGAATTCACGGGAATAAAATTTAAAAAAATACAGAAATAATCCCCAGAACCCCGTGTTTGGAGTGGTGTTTGTTCGTTTGAATTAAGTCGACAAACCTATACCATCACATAGGGCTACGGGAAAAGTCGACGTATAAACGCAGAAAAAATCAAACAGTTGATCAGGTAAGAAAAATATTATTATACGAATCTCCTTCCTTTGAAACACGTAATAGCAGACTGTCACCTGACTGAAGTCAGGAATATTCTTAGATCATATCAAAATTTAATTTATAAATAATATAATTATATTCAGGCAAAACTCAAACTATAATTTTAAATTTAAGTTTTGCCCAGTCAAAACTCCAATTTGAGTTTTGCCTACAACATATACACAAAACAAGAGAAATGAAATATCATTGAACAATAAGAGAGATAGAAAGTGAAAGAAGTGACTGACGAGAAATATACATTGAGAGAGATAGGATGTGAATGGAGAAAGTGATGGATATAAACATATGGGAGAGAGAAAGAATAGTGACTGGAAGAAGAGATCATATTTCGTTACAGAGTATAACATTGTTTATTTCTTACGACTCTAATCAGTACTTTATATAAGCTTGAACTTGATCATCATCATCATGTTCTCGAAGAAACGTTAGAGTAAAACACGGTGTAATCAACCATGAAAAGCCGGCAGATAAATGCCACGAAATAAAGAACAAATACAAGGTGCATTTGTCACAAAAATAACAATAGAAAAAAAAATTTCTTTCAGTCTTTTAGTTTTCACTGTTGTTAAAACTACCATCAGTTTGATCTTCTTGTCTGTAAAAGAAGCAGAACTTCTGCGTGTAGAGATTTACTAATGCACAGATAAAAGACGAGACTTCACTAAAAAAATAATTTTTCGGGTCAAGTGGATTTGAGGCGGGTTTTAGTTTGGAAAATCGGGATCCCGAAAAAACTTCTGGCAGCTCCGGATTTGGAACGTGTTTCAAACCTACGAGACCGGATGGGGATCTGGTTCGAAAATGTCAGCCCGCAGGACTCTCCTAGTGATGAAGACAGTTCTTCGATATCAAATGTATTATCTTTATTGCGCTAAAACATTTAAACATAAGGACAATCAATAAAACGAGCGACATACTATAGTCACATCCAGAAGGGCTCATATTGGTTAGATATTATTTATCCTCATGCCAAAATATGATCATGTAACATATACAAGGTACTTACATTAAAAAAATCTTTATATATATCAAAAGTTTTTCATAATAATTGCCTCAAAATCCAATGTTTTCATACTAACTGGACTACAACGATAGCAAGCAAATGTCCAGGCATACGCATATCATGCCACATACGCGAAATATTTGATAGTGTGTATTACACACTATAAAATGTTTCGCGTGTGTGGCGCCACGAGCTCAAAAACATTATATAACCACTAAAATGATAAAGCAAGCAACCACATACTCTCAGTGACCGCCCATCGGCTTAGGAACCTGGTGTTCAATGTAGTCTACATTGAACAGATTATTGAATTATTACTTCGGAAGTACTTAGGGCAATCCAAAAGTAGTGAGGAAGGTACTTTATTTTCTGATAGAAAGCTTCAAAAAAATTTCTTTTTCTATGAACAGATAGAGCGTCTTTCGCTCTACTTTTGTATGCTATTTGATCACTATTCAACTAATATCATAATAATAAAATTTCGATAAGATCTGTTTCT